AGCCTCAGTATTTTCATTGTCCTATTTCACAGATACAGAAACCAAGATTCAGGCCAGCCAAGTGATTCTTTGACCCACAGGTAGAACTAGGGTTCCTTTGTTTCTTCCAGGCACAAATCCAGGGCCTTCTCCTGAGGTCCTCATGTGACAGAAGGGAGGTACAGCAGTTGCCAGGAACCTCTGCCAGCAAGTGACCAGCCTCTGGGAGCTGGGTTGTATTTTGAGACTTGTCTGTTTTGAGAAGGCGATTATCCTTATTATGACTAATGTTTCATTAAACTTTATCAAGCTATGGTTTTTGTTGATAGGCTAAAATTTTCCTAAAAATCGTTTGTTTTTTATGGTGGAAAAAGGCATAATGGCAGAAATGATAATTAGTGATCTCAATGGAAGTAAGTAAACTTGGTTTAGATACTGAGCATTGGGAAGTCAGTGTATGTTGTAATTATCAGTTGCTAATTGGAGAGGCCATGTCATGAGGTGTTGAAGTCATTTAAATCTGTGACTGGGCTGGGGCTCAAGCGGTAGCGCACTCGCCTGGCATGCGTGCGGCCTGGGTTCGATCCTCAGCACCACATACAAACAAAGATGTTGTGTCTGCCGAAAACTAAAAAATAAATATTTAAAAAAAAAAAAATCTGTGACTCCTGGTGGCTGTGGGCCTGGGAGGCTGTGGATCTGGGAGAGTGGAGGAGTGGAGCCAGTCTCTCCCCTGCCCCCTGCTGGCTGACCTAAAAGTACTCATCTGTACCTGGCCTTTCCAAGAAGTACTGCTTGGCACAGCCATATGGAGATAGTTTTTATGCATTGCTTTTGGAGGCATTTTATAAGCAGCTCTTTTCTTATTTGTTCTTGCCTAGGATCTTCTTAGGCAGCTTGAACAAAGTCGTCCACGGTGTGGGGAGGTTTGGCGTAGCGCTCACAGCCTCCCCCAGCCTCAGGATCTTGTCTCATTTCACCCTGTTTCCATTCTTGCTCTACTGAGATTTTAGTGGGAGTACCCAAGCCTAACAGTTGTAGGATTGACTGATCATTTTGCAATACGAGGGATGGAGTCCAGGGGTGCTCTGTCACTGAGCCACATCCCCATCCCTTTTAATTAAAAAAAATTTTTTTAAACAGAGTCTTGCTAAGTTGTTGAGGCTGACCTCAGCTTGCAATCCTCTTTCCTTAGCTTCCTGAGTAGCTGGGATTATAAATGTGTGTCATGCTGATTTTTTTTTTTTTTTAAACATAGAATGAGCAGAGGCATTGCATGTGATTTTCCTATACTTTGTGTTGATTTCCCTTTTCCAGTCTCACATTCTTAACAAACTAGGGTCTTCCCTATGCTGCACTTACTTGCTTCTCACAGTGTATTTCAAGCCTGTCCTGTGCTGGTCCTGTAATGGAAGAGTGTTCAGGATGGTGGCAGGCCACACTGGCACTGACATGCAGCACATCTGCAGTCTTAGTATGACCTCCGGCCTGGGAGAGCAAGCATCCCCTCTGCCATCTTCTCTAGCTGGAGGTGACAGGTGCCGGCAGTGAAGCCTGCACTTCTCTCTGATCATCCACAGTGTGCAAGAACAGACAAAACCCCTCCTGTGGCAGAGCTGGCAGAGTAGTTGGGATGGGGGGCATTTGGTGTCCTGGTGCATCACCTGAGGAGGAAAGGGGGAAGGGAAGTGCCTGGGCGATGAGGTTCTAGATGGTGTGGGCAGCATAGGCTCCCTCCAGGAGCAGCGGCTTGGCAGGGGAGAGAAAGGGTGCACACCAGGAGTACTGGGCTCCAGAACATCCATGGAGAGGGTGCCCTGAGGTGGGCAGGGAGGTCAGTGTGGAGGTGGGAGCGGAGGAAAGAGGAGTCCCCAGGAGATGAGACACAGTTGAGGGTGTGGATCGGAACCCAGGCACCTGTTCTGGGAACTGTGGGGACCTGTCAGTGAGTTGAGTGGAGGAGTGACATGGCACCACTCCGGTTTTGAAGGAGCAGTGCAGAGTTGGTGGAGAGAGGAAGGAGGGAGAGCAGGTGAGACCTCAGTTGTGATCAAGCAGCCGCCGGCTGGGATGCAGCTGTAGATGGGGCAAGGACTACCTGAGTGCTGGCTGTGTTCTGAGGGCCAGGATGCAGGGTTTTGCTGGTGGATTATGTTGGAGTAAGAGACAGAACACAAGACTGACTAAGGTTTTGGGCCCCAGAAAATAGCAATATCTTTTTTGTGAATTTTAATGAAGCTTTCACTTGTTAAGTTCAACTAACCAGAGTTGCTTTTAACTGCTAATACTGAGAGTTTGATTTGAACATCACAGGACTTTTTAATGAATAGTGGCCTTTGAATTAGTATATAGAATTTCTTAAACAAGAAAGTAGAGTACTGACCAGTTTTTTTTCACTCATGTTACCTTTAACTGTAGGCTGTTTCTGTTCTTTTCAAGCTGTCACTGGATTAGGAATTTAAAAGCATAATTGGATTTTAATATTTAGCAAGAGGAGAATTAGAGTAATTAAATTTCCAAGCTGGCTAATACTTAGTTAGATTTCAGCCTCATTTTCCTCTTCTGTCAAAACGAGGAAGCACTTACTACTTTGGGATGTGTTATGGATTAAAAGCAGTTACTTTCTGCATGACGAGAGGGCACAGGTTACTCTCTGTTGCTGACACCATGCTCTCTTGCTGCTGCTCTCCCCAGCTGTCCACTCTCAGGTCTCAGTGGTTCCCATAGCTGCTGCTTCTGAGTGACCAGTCCCTGGGTGTGAGTGATCCCTGGGCATGCCATCACCCACCTTGCTCTCTGGCCTTCCATCTCTTACCTTTCCATGTGATGGCAAACCCAGATCTTGTTGTGAAATGAAATCATAAAAATGGTAAGAAACCTATGCCTGGGGAAGGGTCAGTTCGCCTCCCCTCTTAGCCTTTTTCCAGGAAGCCTAAATAACCACAGGTCCCTACCTTCTGGATTGTAAATAACTGCCCTAAGAAGCGAGTTTGGCTACTCCCTCTTGAAACTTAACAGATGCCTATGAAAAGAGCCCTTTCTTCTTATCTGTTTCTGTGAGCATGCTTAATGTTGAAGACCCTGCACAAGACCTTCAGCTATGTAAATTAGGATTTTTTTTTTTTTTTTTGGTGGTGCTGGGGGCATTATGCATGTGAGGCAAGCACTCTACCAACTAAGCTATATCCTCAGCCTGGCAATTTCTTTTGAAAGAGGAAAAAGCCCCAATGATAGGATGGGTCCAAGATGACACCAAATAACCTATAAATGTTGTGAGAAACTGGATCAGGCTCAGAATTTGGAGTTTTGTTTTCCTCTGGGCCCTCCAGTATATTAAAATAAAGACTGGAGTTCTCCTCTTCTCTGAATGCTGCTTGCTGCTTCTTCACCAGTCTGTTTCTGGAAATATCCACACCCCTGGCTCTTGTACAGTAGGAGATGAAGACGTGCTGTTGCTGGAATAGATCACAAAGCAGTGCGAGGGGTGGCAGAGGAAGCCCCCACTCACTGGTTAGAGTCAGCAGCTGGGCTTAGGCCCTTTTTGTCCACATTCCCTCTCAATTTTGTCCTTGTTCCCACATCATTGCCAGTGCCTTTGCCCAGTGGCCCCCACACCTCCTTGCACCACTCTGTCTTTACTCAGGTGGTTGGTGGGATGGGTCTGTGGTGTAAAGGCCCTGGCTCCCTCTCATGGTTGCTGTTGGTAAGGGGATGCAGAAGTTCTGATCTTCTTGAAGGGATGGCAAATGCCCCAGGGCTTGATGTGTAGAATACAGTCGTGGCTGGTAAAAGGGGCTTGTGTCTTTTTAACTTTTGAGAGCCTAAGTTCACGTCTTCCCAGCCGTGACGTCCCACCACCTTCCCCTTGGTGCCTGCTGGCACTGCGGTGTTCCTAGGGGCTCTTCTGGGTGCTCTGGGTGCCTTTTTCTTGTTTTGCTAGGCTGTTTACTTGTGCTTTTCAGGAGCCACTTTCTTCCCAGGTCATAGTTCACCCTGGGGTGTGATGTGTTTTCTCTGGGGGCTCGGGAAAGCTCACAGGAGACTGAGTGGAGCCTGGAGACAAGGCCTTCATCACGGGTAACTAGAACTGAAGCCGACTGTCCAGGGCGGCTGGGTACAAACAGGCCTCTTGTTCTCTCAGGCTTTGTCTCGTTCTTGCTTTCAGCAGTGGGTGAACTCATAAACAAAGATTTGGCCATTTGCACAGTGAAGTACTTGAGTCACGGTTCGTTTATGAGATTGTGCACCCAACATAATGACCCACATATCAGGAAAGCTAGAATTGAGCTGAGCAGCAGTGTGTCCTTGCACTGATCACTAAGTAGAATGTGTTCACATAGCTCAATGTTTGTCCTGACCTTGACTCTCTTGCCAGTTTGAATTGAAAAAGTAAGTAACTTTGCATCTTAAAAAACAATTGCTGATGCAGACTGTTAGGATATTTTTCTGTCTTGATTCTTCACCATGAATTGTATTAATCACTTATCTTTTACGTTAAAACAACACTCTGTACATCTTAGATGTCTCATTCTTTGTGTTTTCATCTTAGATAGTTTTATAAATCTATGGGCTCACTGTGAAAGTATCAGGAAAAGTATTTTGCCTCAAAGATTTTTGGGTTCCTGTGGGCTTTTTTCGTGCAAATTTGTTTTTAATGTTGATCCGTACTGCCCCCACCACTACAACTCTTATTTCATCAGGATAATTATTTTGACTGCAAGGTCAGAATTAGATTGGTGAAGTGCCAAAAGCATGACTTAGAAAACAAAAATGGTTTAGGACCCTGCTATAGACTTGATCTGGGTCAGACTAGATTTGCAGCTTACTCAATTTTAGAGTCAGCTGTCAGCTTTGTATGCAGAAGTCCCCTGGATGCATTGAGCAGAAGGGCGAGATTAGCATATTCATAAGGCGCTGGCTACTGGCCTTCTTTTTCTCCTCCCTCCTGCCTTCCCCGCCTCTCTCTGAATGAATCTAGGAACACAGACCCACAGGGTCCAGTTACTAGCTGGTTTCCTTCTGTTCAGTAGCTTCCTCTGGCCAGGATGGTCTATGTTTCAGATTGCAAAAGCATGAGAAGATTTAGTAACTGAGAGGCTTCCTTCAAGCTGCTGGAAAATATTACAGAAGGAGCACCTCCCAAATTTTGCTTCAGATTCTGAAGAATGGTTTACGCCACAGGGAGAGCTTAATCTTGCTCTGGATCGAAGTAAATGCTATCGAAGCAGTGAACTGGGACTCTATGCAGACTCCGGGCATATCTTGATAGGATTGGGTGTATGTTGTTGCAACTGGCAGGCCAGGAGGCCCTGAAACCAGCAGGTGCCATCTGTATGGAGAAAAGCGGCTGTAGTCCATTTCCAATGTGTTGGGCTAAAGGTATAAACGACTTAAAAATCTGTTTGGCTTATGTTTTATTTAAATTCATGTTTTTGCACTAAGAAAGGTACATAAGAGTTTTTCAGAATTTATTTTAAATAGGTTTGCTGTTAAACTGGAGGGAAAATGGAAATTGACGCAGTGGGGTTTAACAAGAATCCTGCAAGCCCAGTTAGGTACCTTCCCCTGGTAAGTACAGGGAGGTGCATTTAGTGAGCCAGGCCATCTTTTCACGCTCTGTCCTGTGCCTCTTGAAAGGTTCACTTTTTCTCTTCCACTTAAGACATCCCTATTTGTTCTGTGATATGGAAGTTTTTAAAGAATAAAAAGACCAATTTTAACTTTATAAAAGACATAGGAAAAAGGAATAACATTCTTTTCTTATTTAAATTTCCTTTATCACTATAAAGATTATGTATTTAATTTGAAGGTCTGTATTATTTTAAGATGAGCATATCACCAAGGCCCAGGAACTGTGAATAAACAGTTTTCCACTCTAATGTTGTTAGGGTTTTTATTTGCATAGAAATGTAGATATCAAAGTTGGCATTTTCATTGTAATATTCAAGACAGTATTTGGAAAGCATATTTAAAAGTTAAAAAGGCCATGTAATTAGTACATGCTGAATCCAAGTAAATCTACCTTAAAGTACTAGTGGATATTTATCTAAGCAATGAAGAATTTAATAAGTCTGTTGTAGCTTAAGTATATTTAAGTGTCCTGTTGCTCTCCGAGGAAGGATTTTACTGGCTGTACCTCAGGGCAGGAGGCTGCATTTGTGTAAGCAGAGCTGCAAGCTGACTGGCTTTGGGTTCTAGGTTGAAATTTCCAGTCCATTGGGATGTGGATGTGACAGACCAGACTGCAGTTACAGCATTAAATTTGTGGTGGTTGAGTCGTCTTGGCCATCTGTGAATTCTTTTTTCGGTTCTCTCCCACAAAGCACATAATGTTAGAACTCTTCCAGTGTCTGCACAAGGCGTTTGTCACTTTATTACATGACTGGATACTCAGAAGAGATCTTACCAAGTTAATGGAAACTCAAATTTTATGTGGGCACTGGGGATTGAATGCAGGGGTTTCACCACAGAGCTACATCTTTGGTCCTTTTTATTAATTTTTATTTTGAGATAGAGTCTCACTAAGTTGCTTAGGGTCTCACTAATTTACTGATGCTGGCTTTGAACTTGCACTCTTCCTGCCTCAACCTCTGGAGCTGATGGATTACAGGCTTGTACAACCGTGCCCAATGGAAATTTGTATTTTAAAGGTCATTTGGCATGGGGACTCTTCACAATTGTAGTTTCTTGGCTTTAGAACCATATGCTGAGCATAACCAGTGGTCAGAGGCAAAGAATTCTAAACTTGCTGACAATTTCCATCTTTTTACAGACTTGCTGGGGGCTGGTGGGCATAGTTCACCATTGTATGTTAGCTCTGATAGGGAGTAGTAAGGTTCTTCCATGTTCTTCCAAGCCTATACTGGGTTCAAGATGGACAAGCACAGTTGCTGTGGGACGTTATGAACTTTAGCAAGGGGGGAGATGGTAGTGTTTGGGTTCATTGCAGAGCAAATGATCAGAGCAACTGGGTTTCCAAGGGTGTTTTCAGGTGGTCAGAAATGAACACAGTTGCTTCTAACTGAAGCAAGCATTTATGATAGAACGTGGGCCTGGGTGAGAGGGGCCAGAGCTCTCCCCTGGGGAGGATGTGAGTAGGGGACGTGATAAAGGCCAGAATTGGTTCATCTTAGGGCTGGAGCAAGCCAGTCCTCAGATGGGCTGGTTCTGATGGAGGTGCTGTCCTCCATCCCTGTCAGAGCTGAGTACTGCCCTCCCAACCCCAATGGCCCAGCCTCTGTGAGTTCCTTCCCTGCCTGCTCAGCTTACTCCCTTGCACAGACAGGAAAGCATCAGACCTGTTCATGCTGGGTGATTTTTGGCTTCATGATAAGGACAAAGATGTTGGTGTACAGGAATTGGCTGAATTAGTTATTTCAAGTTTGAGAGTTAGGATGTGAAGATAGGGTAAAGAGCTCATATCCAAAGAACATACAAATCTCTATCTTGAGTAGACATTCTAAACCACACACTTGACTTTATCAGTCACATTAACCTCAAAAAGCATAGCAGTGTCCCAATTTAAGAACACATAAAATTCTTACCAGGACAAGCTAAAAATAGTGGAACAGACCTATATTTATATACTTTGAAACAAAACTTTTAAGGTGTCCTTAAAGCACTCTGGGATCTTTTTGAAATAAAATTCATTGTAATGTTGAATTTGATCTAAAGATCTCACCCAAGAAGATTATATTGTAAAGTATTTTAAGAAGATTTTGGTAACACGTGTAACTATATCGAGGTTTCCTAGGCATGAAGACAGTTTTAATTCAGAGTGCTGGATTAAAGGTCAATGTCCACAATGTAAGGTGGCAGGGCTGTTGAGGCAGGGAGCCAGATTGGGCTAGTCCAGATTTATCAATATGCACAATGTGAAAGGCGGGAAGCTTAGGAGAGGGGTCAGCAGTGTTGTTGTTGGAAGTTGTTAAAGTCATGTTTGTTCTGTAATAGAATTTTAAACTCCATCTGCCAGTTAGTGCATCTGTCCATCCATGCAGATAGCCCTGCTTACTGCCCATTTATCTTCTCTAGCAGTCAGCTGCCTCTTGGTACCCACGTTTGATACTCAGAAGCATCTGATAACTTGCAGGGAGGAGCCTCCCAGTTGCTTCCTGAATCTCTGCTTGGTAAACAGTGGAACCCCATTTACTCAGTTCACACTGCCAATCCAGATCATCTCCTTGGCCCTTCTTCCATGTGTAACAAGCACATCATTCCATCATGGATTCTGCTTCCAACACACCTCAGGTTGTTAAACTTGTGTCCCTTTTGGTTGCGTCCACTCCCTGGTCTGTATTACCCCTTCTCCTATCAACTGAAACCTTGCAGGTGCTGCATGCGGACGCCGCTCTGAGCAGCATATGCATAGAAGCTTATACAAATTGCCCCATGTAATTCTCACGAAATGAGGCAGGAATTCCTCAGAGTACCAGTTTTGCACACAAGACAGTTGAGGCCCTGAGAGGTTAAGAGACTTGGCAGTGGTTGCTTAGCTCATGAAGGCAGTGTCAGGTTCTGATCATCAGGAGTCTGACTCCAGTATACTTAATCATTGTGGACACATATCCAAATGGAGAAACCATAGCTCACGATGGAATTATCTGCTTTGTATAATATTTACATGTTGATAGAAGAATCATGACTTGTAATCTCAGATACTTTTCTTTGGATACCGTTCATTCCACAAGTGTTCAGTGAGCACTTAGTGTATACTAAGCCCGCTATCAGAACTTGGCAGATGTCAGTGAGTAAAGCCTCCTACTCCCTGGTGAAGTTGGTCTTCCAGTGAGGAGCATAGCAAATGATAAGAATAGTAAGTTAACAAGAATGAGTGATAGGTGCCCAGAGTCACAGTGAGGCTGCTGCCGCCAGATGGCAGTTTTCTGGAGATTGTTGGCCAGCTATGTTGTGAGGGTGTCATTCATAGAAGACCTGAAGGAAATGAGGCGTTGGCCTGGGATGTCTGGAGGAAGAGGGCTCCAAGTGTTAATTGTATGGCAGAGATCCCTGATGGGGGAAGGGCAGCATGGTGGGGACGTGAATAGAGCGAGGGCCTCTTCCTGTCTCTGCCCACAGGCATGGAATGGAAGGCCCACTAGGAACCAGCCACACTTGCAGGTCACTTTGAATCCACCTTCCTTAAAAAGAGTTCAGTGAGAGGAGTGACTGGCGCTCAGTCCCTCTTCTACTGTGTGGGAAGCCTGCATGCATTCTGATTTTCTGCAGGTGGGCCTTGCTCCTGTGTTCTGTGTGGGACCTCAGCATCAGGGCCTTCTTGCACCTGCACCATTCTGTCCCTGGCCTGACTGTTGGCTCTGGGAGAAGGCCATTGGTTCTCCAGCCTTTTCCTCTTTCACTTGAATTGGTTGTTTTTGCTCAGATATGATCTTCTTAGGGAGACAGGCTGCATGCCCCAGTTGATGCATTTCATCCCCACGTTGCATTGGGCAGCACTGTCCTCAGGGCCCTGGTGGGGACAGTGAACCACACAGAAGCCTAGTGTGTGTTCTCTGGCACCCTGTTTAATAAAAGGGAGCCATGCCCTCACCTTGCATGCAGCCCACCCACTGTGCTTTCTACCCTGTATCTCCTACACAGTAGATTCCTATATTTTCATGATTAATGAGGTAACCGTCTGCTTGGAGCAACAGAGGTTTAAATTCTTAGAACCAGATAAGAGGATGATGGAAATGTTTCTGGAAATTAGAAAACACCCAAGTTCTTTCTTTTTGCTTTAATGGTTAGTGACGCTGATTTTTGAAGGGTGGGGGGAGAAAGCATTTACAGATCTTTGATTTCAAGTTCATTCATGGATGTTTAAACTCTGAGGAATTTATTATAAGTTCAGTGGTTTTCTATATTCCTTTATATTTTGTTTATTTGTTGTGCTGGGTATCACATCCAGGGCCTCAGGTGTGCTAAGCCAGCACTCTACCACTGAGCTATGTCGCCAGCCCCAATTTCCACCCCCTGTAGTACTGGGGATGAAACCTGAGCTACACTACCAGTCCCTCTGTATTTCTTAACTTATCTAATTTTAGTTTAGAAGAGAGAAATCTAACTTTAAAACAATTATCATGAGATATTCATTTTGCATTTAAGTTATATTTGTAGATTTTCATAATGTAGCTCATGATTTTAGATTTTGGTTTAGATGTAGACTTTCTTCTTTAAGATAGACAGTTCAACTAATATACATCAGTGTTTTTGCTTTGTATTATGTCTCTCTTCCTGGAACGTTGCATTAAAGGAGTCCCATTTTAGGTGTTCTATAAAGTTTGATGTTGAAAAGAAACCATTGGTAGTTTTAAGAGACTAAAATGTTAATATGGTGATCAATGGCTGTTAAATACTTGGAAGTTACTCATTTTTTTCAT